TTCGTCTCCACATTGTCTATTTTTGTATATCTTTATTATTTAATTTATTTTTATCATATGTCTTGCTAAAAAATATGTATCTTTCATACCAGATATAATTTTTTCCAATATAAATGGTAAATAAATTAATACATAATTGAGAAGGGGTCCGGAAATAAACAAAAAGACAACACAAGCACTTCATCTAGGTTTTTAGTTTGTTTTCGTGCTCCTCACTTAACAGTTTGTACTATTATATAATGAAAAAATGTAGACCAATTACTGTATTACTAAATAAATTGAATTGAATTGAAAAGAAAATATATATTTATCATTACCTGATGAAGCCTCAACCAATAACTGCCTGTAAAGGAGTAGTTTGTTATACATCGAAAATTTAGAAATTTTTCAGTAAATAATACATTTATTTGTAATTTATATTAAGCTCTTTACGTTTCTTTGTTTTTAATGAAAGCTTTCCTACGTCTAGCCTTACGTGCCAAATTATGACTTGGCAATGTTGTTGAGTGTATCTTATAAAGTTTGTGCATTAAATCTAAAATTTCATATACAGAATTCAAAAAATTAAATAAAAGTTATACACGCAAGTGTTCCCTATAGCATGAGTCATCAGAGTAAGTAAAAATTACTGGAAAAGTCGATATAATAAAGTTTATTTGTACTTATTACTGTATTCGTGTCTTTAAAATTGACCTTTGACCATAATAAACCTTCTGTGCACCTACTAAGAAGTTTACACGGCTGCCAGACTGTCAAATATTATGGAACAACTACGAGATGACTTCATCCAAATTGAAAACAGAATTAGAAATGCCATTGAAGCTAGCGAAGTTAAAATTTTGATGAAACTAGAGTCAGTGAATGAAAAGGTGAAAAAAATAAGGAAAGAAGATTTAGAACTTTAACAGAAAGTAGAGCTGTTAGAAAGAAACAGCAAAAAAACAACGTCCTGATTTTTGGAATTAAACCAACATTGAAAGAATTTTCTGTGGAAAATATCTGCAATTATCTAAATAGTGTACTTGGCCTTCAAATAGAACGATCAGATATTAATCACTTCTATCAACTTGGAAAATTGGAAAGAAATCCCATCAAAGTTGAATTTGTATCAACTTTTACAAAAATAAATGTACTAAGAAATACCAAGAAACTAAAGGGTACCATTATTACTATTTCTCCAGATCTTACAAAAACTCAACAGGAAAGAAACACTATTCTTAGAAATCACCTACGAAGAATAAGACAGACAACGCAGGATCATTGCTACATAAAAGGAGAAAAACTTTACAGAAAAAATACAGCTTATAGTGTAGAAGATATTATACAAATTGAAGAAATCTACAATTCAATCGTAATACAACATTCAAATAGCGCACCACAAACACCAGCAAGAGAAAATAATTCATCTACATTCAATAAAGATAATAATAAAGAGAATAAGAATAAGATAATTGAATTATATTGAGGACAAAGCAGCAAAAACAAAGAAAAAAGAAGAAAAAGTAGCGGAACATAAGGAAGAACGAAAAGGGGATAAACAGAAAAGTCAACAAATTCCGCAAAAAAATAAAGAAAAAGACAAGGAAACAAAAAAGTCTGTTACTACTACAAGTACCAGTGGTAATTAAAATTTGAAAATTGAAAAAAAATCTATTTAATTTCATAGTGTATAAAATGTGTCATTCTGTATAGTTCTTTTCGCTCCTAGTAAACTGTTTTTCAGTTCTGAATTGTACCTACCATCTCAATAGTAAGTACAGTATCTTAGATTATAAAAAAAGTTCTAATTTTCACAAATAGTAGGCGATTTATTTACTATGGATCTTTTTATCAGAGACTATAACTACACTTCATTTTCCACTAAAGTATTAGAGAATATCAATGACTACAATCAAGTAACACAAATTTTTCACAATAACATTAGGAGTATTAGTAAAAATGTAGATAACTTGGAAGTTGTTTTTAATAAATTCAACGAATATTTTGATTATCTAATATTAACTGAAACAAAAAATAATTTTGATATAAACTTGTTTCAAAGAACAGGGTATAATATGTTATTTAATTTTGATGATATAAATAAATGTGATGGTACGGTTGTGTATTTAAAAAATCGTATAATTATAATTATAAAATAGTAGAAATATATCATTGCAAAGGTTTAAAAATAATAGTAACTAAAGAAAATTGAATTATTAAAATAACATCATTTTACAGGTCTCCCTCAATGAATGAAAGGGAATTCATAACTGAACTGCACCACTACTTAAGAGAATCTAAAAAGAATTGTGATATGTATGTAATTGCGGTTGATATAAATATTGATATACTTCGAGACGATGAAGTTTATTCAAATGAGTATTAAGATATTTTAAGTGAGTTTAGTTTTACTTTAACCATTAATGTTTCTATTGGTATACAAGGTTTATCGAAAACTTGCATAGATCACATGTTTGTAAATATAAAAAATGGACAAGTCGAAGATTGTTGTTCTAGCTATGTTCTAAATACCCTTGTTACTGATCATACAGCTACAATTTTAAACATAAATATATTTAATAATAAGGAACCTGTGAATAAAATTAAATTTATCAATAAACTAAATAAGAATAATCTCAAAGCTGATTTAACTTCATACAAGAAGCAACAATTTACTTTGTTAATACTCTTAACACCCTTATTTCCAAAAATACAATTGTACTTAAACAAAAAATGTTATTAAAAAGAAAGCGTGGATTACGGTAGGCCTCATGAAATAAATAATCAGAAGGGATAAATTATATAAAGCATATTAAAAAGACATAGAAAACAACGTGTAGAAAACAAAGTGTTAAAAGACCAATTTATTAATTACAGAAATTCTTTAAATCGCCTTATTCAAGTTACTAAACTTAATTTTTAGAAAGCACAGATAGACTCAAATAAAAATAACTCTCAAAAATTATGGAAAACAATAAAAAATATATCTAACAAACTTTAATAATACTGATATAAAAGAAGTAATAACAAAAAACAGTAATGTTGTTGAGAATAAATTACAAATAGCAGGAGCATTTAATGAAGTAGGACCTGACCTTGCTAGACTTATTACAAAACCACCAACACATTCTCCACCTCGGAAAGTAAATAATAACACCATATTCCTAAAACCCACAAATAAAAAAGAAATTATACAAAATTTAAAAAATAATAAAAGTCCTGGGATAGACAATATAACCGCCGAAACATTAAAAGAAATTCGTACAGAACTTTCTTCGCCACTCTGCTTTATTATTAATTTGTATAATAGAAAATGGAATTTCAAGTCTTCATAAAAATGGAAATAAACAAACTCTTACTAACTACAAACCTTTTTCTATAATAAACAATTTCTCAAAAATTTTTGAAAACATAATAAAGATAAGATTAGAATCATTTTTAAACAATAATAATATTATTTCTATAAAACAATTTGGGTTTCGTACAGGTATTTCTACAGAATATGCAATATTAGACTTAACAACAAAATTGTATAAGGCTGTTGACTGCAGCTGTCCGGGCATAGGGATATTCCTCGATCTTGCAAAGGCGTTCGTTACTGTGAACCACTAGCAGCTGTTGGATTTTTTGCAGGATGTGGGAATACGGGGAGTTGCACAAAAACTATTAGAATCTTATCTAATAGGAAGAAAACAATGTGTTAAAATAGATAATAGTATAAGCTCGAAAAGGATTGTTCAATGTGGCCTTCCTCAAGGGACAGTTCTTGGTCCCATTCTCTTTACGATATACTTTAATAATCTACTTACACTTACAACTTCTGGAGAGATAACAAGCTTTGCTGATGATACTGTCATCTTTTATACTGCAAACACCTGAAATGATCTAAAACAAAAAAATTGAAAATGATATAAGTAATATTATAGATTGGTTTAATTACAAATTGCTTACAATAAACTTCGATAAAACTATGTTTCTACCTATAACAAGCTGTAAAAAAACTTCCTAATTACAACTATCTAGAAATCAACAATTACGGTAACTTAATAAATATTAAACAAACCGATAAACTAAAGTATTTAGGAATAACTATTGACAACCATCTCCGTTGGGACTATCATATTACTAGTGTTACAAAAACTCTTTGGTCATTAACACTTATTAACACTATAATATAATATAATATTATTATGAATTGGTTGATTCTCGCCTCTCCTATGGAATTGTAGGATGGGGAGGAGTAACATATACTTATCTAAAAAAGCTAGAAGTAGTCCAAAAATTATTTTTTAAAATAATACTTTAGAAAAATAGAACTTACTCCTCGAATGCTCTTTATAAAGAGACAGAGATCGTAGACTTAAGGCAAACATTTTTCTTAAGGGGGGTATGTTTATTAACTAAAGAAAAATATTCGTTGAGTTTAAAATACATATGTCTTTGTCATAAAACTAGGATTCCGGAAAATTAATGATACCAATTGTCAAAAAAAAAACAATAGAGCATGAAGGTCTTATGTTTTTGGGACCTAGATTTTTTAAATTTTTTACCAAAGGAAATATCGCACACCCCATTCAAAGCCGTATTAAGTCAAAAATGTGAAATTTTACAGGAGAAGCAAAACAAAATTTTGATACATTATTTTTTTTTATTTTGCATTCAATATTAGACTTAGATATATCATGCTTTGTTTTTATTTGACTGAGTATGCTTTCAAAACCACACTCTAAAAAAAAATCCTCCATTTTTCCTAGAAGTCTCAAAAGTTAAGTTTGATTTGAGATGATACACTTTTCTCACAAAATATTCAAATACTTTTTGTGTTGAGTTTTATAAGTTCTTTATTTTCTATGCATAATATTGATTATGATAATAAACTGAAAAGAAATTGCTACATTTTCTTAAAAAATATGAGAAATAATACAAATTTCTTGAAACAAAACAAATATATTTCTAAAAAAGAACGTTAAAAAAATAAAATCTTGGAGACTAGCTACCAATTTAATACTAATTAGTTATTGATTAACAAAAAATAAGTAATTAAAGCAACAGTCAACTAACATAACTAAAATAATGATTCGTAAAAGCCTTTATAATAGTTTGGTATAAATTTTTTTTCCAATAGAAATTTCAAATCTTTTTTTTTTATTTTCATTAATTGTAAGCTTAGATTTGTAAGCTTTCTTCAGAGTTGGCAAGATGTTGAACCGAGTGCTTGCAGATTCTGAGCATCTGGTAGTTTTTTTCACTATTGCATTTCCACGAACATCCACCGATTTCCATTCCTCAGATTCTGTATACGACATTTTGTAAAAAAACAGAAATGGCTGGTTTTTCTCAACTCTCACAATTCGAAGGTTACTAATAAAGACTTGCTCTCCCTTGGTATTTACATTAAAATTTATCCCAGTATCAGCCATAAGCTGCTTCACATGGACAAAATCGTCGTGTGATAATTCTTTCACAAAATATGGGGATCCTTTTTTCTTTGCTACTCTTATCAACATTACAAACTGATCAGGAACAAAGATAGGTCCTGATTTTAATGCTCTGGCCACCTGAAATTTAAGAAACAAATGAAAGCTAATGGAGTAGCAGCATCAGAATACTGGATAAGCCAATTTCCCGCACGATGTCATTCGATGATAGTTTTGACAGGTGCTTATGGCGTTCTACATTGGGCAGGTGGAATATTTTATTGTTGCCGAATGATTTTATGCAATGAGCTGGGAGATTCTAAAATCACGATTCGATACACGATTCGATAACGAGAGGTAATTCGATATCGGCATTGTTATCTAGACAGATGTGCAAAAGTGAATTTAGAATCACTAGAATCGTCTAATCGATAACGACTTGTATCGAATCGTGATTTTAGAATCCCACCCGAGGTCAGCTTACCTTATGAAATTTTTAGAAGTCGGGAAAAGCTGCGAGAAGGTAAAACTTATTTAACCTAATAATGATTAATGAGAAAAAATTGAATTACCTGTTTTTCAATTACAGAATGGGTGGCATCTCCCTCGTTTTGTGTATGTCCAACAATGAGATATTTATGGGTAACTGCCTTAATTTTATATTTCTGTACCGCATACATAAGAAGTGCTATCAAGTACCTGGAACAAATTGGAATAAATCTTATACCTAAATTATTGAATGAATATATTTTTTTACCTATTTTTTTGTTGTGCTCCACAATTGTCGCTGTAAAGAACTATTTCTAGTTCTTCACTGTCGCATTTGCTTGCTTTTTCTTCCAAGTATTTCAAAATGCAAGACCCTACTTCTGTGGCCCCTTTTCCTCCTTCGCCTTCATGCCAAACATAGCACCAGGTTGCATCATTCCCAATTTCAGTAACTGACAAGTTCATTGTGTTAAGCTTTAATATATAATAAAAAATTGAGATATCCCCCTTAGAAATTGGTAGGACAGCTTGCATGTCAAAGCAAGCCACAATAAAGTTTTGATTTACTTTGGCTTTATCTTCTTCCTTATCCTTTCTCGATAATACTTTTTCCTTTAAATGTTCATCATACTGCAACTTCAAGTTTTCTTTGCCTTTTTCATCAGCGGTATTGTATTGAAAACAAAGACTACATTGGTCCTTTTTGGGAATAAAAAACGAAAAGTTAAATTCTGTGTTGAAAATATCTGCGTACATGTGATAATTAACTGTCGCCTTGCCTTCAGCCTCACATGCAAGTTTGTAGTCTCTATAGAGGTCGGGGCAATGGTTTTGCTACCATCAATAAATTCTCTTGATGTCTGTGCCCGAAGGTAATGGCTTTCAATTCTTGGAATTGATTGAATATGCTCCCTGACATCATTTTTCAAATTAACGCTTATTTTTTTATGGTTTTTATGTTTTCCTCTTCCATCTGCACTAACAATGCCCGATAACAAAGTTTTATCTCTTACTGTAAGTACTGTCCTATCATTTATGTCAAGCGTATTTTTGAAAAATTTCTTGCAAACCCTTAGTTTTTTGCCTTCAGAGGTTTTGAAATAAAAAGCAAAATTTAGTCTTCGGTTACTGGCAGCTCTAACATAACGATATTTTGGTGTAATTAATTCCATATGCTTTGATAAGAAATCACGCTTTCTATCAATATTCTCGAGGCTGTAATAAGCATTGAATAGTTGTGAACGTTGTTCCCTGTCAAATTTCTTAGAACACTGGTGTTGGCATTTTTCACCACAAGGCTCTTTTACTTGTTTAGCAGCGACGACTCTTTTGGATTTTGCTGATGAAATATACTCCTTGCCAGCATTTCTTAATCTCTTTATCTTGTTTTTGTTCCACTCATTTTCGATTCGCATTCTTTTCCTAGATTTCTTTCTATTTGCAGCATTATTTTCCAAGTCTTCGGGTAATTCTTCAGTGTTTCTCGTCGCAACTATTTCCCTCAAGACTTCTCGACCAATTTCTTCATCAGACGACGAAGAAGAAGAAGAAGAAGAATCTGAACTTGACCTACTTGAACTTGAAGAACTTTTAAAATTGGGATCTTTAACACTATCGTCATCATCTTCGCTTTCAGTTCCACTTTCATTTGTGTTTGTAGTCATATTTTTTAAGGTGTTAGTCTCAGTCTTTCTTAGAGTGTATAAATTTGAAATTGGGGTATCAGAAGCTTCTTGAAATTTTTCATGATTGATTGATAATGAAGTGTATTCATTCGATTCGTTATTTAATGGCGTATAGTTCTGAGGTGTAGGCCAAAATTCAGATTCAGCATTTATCACAGAGTTATCATTTAACCCATTATTTTCGGTCAAAGTTTCTGGATTATTATTAAGGCTAGAAGTACTGACAGGTATCGATGTTAAATTTTGTTGGATTCCATCAATGTGTGTGGACTCAGTATTTAATGCGGTATAATTCTGAGGCACAATTCGCAGCATTGATTTGAGAATCATTTAAAAATATATCACTTTCGGACAAGTTTTCTGCATTATAATGAGGACTAGCGCTGTTTGCAGATGTCGTCAAATCATTTTGGATTCCACAAACTGGCTCAGCAAGTTGCAATTCAGTTGCAACTACTTCAGCAGCAGCTTTGAAAATTTTAGAAGTACTTGCACTGATTGACATTCTAAAAGACACAAAGAAAAATGTATTTTTAATAGTCGTACCTACGTTATAATTTTTTTTTTTTTGAAGTAATTATGATTTTCTTGTTTTTCAGTAGAAAGAATTGAATCAAAATTCAACCTCGCTCGAGAAAAAGCATAATAAATCGAAAAAGTGTCCTTTTATAACCATAATAATTTCATAAAATAATACATAATTTCGAAAAAAACTGTATTAACTCAAAACGAGGCACTTTTCTCTTAACGCAATTCTAATATTTTGTATTATTCTCGAGCAAAAGCGTCTTAAACCAATATAATACTCCTTTATAAACCTAAATATAATAATGATATTATTGCGCATTCCGAAAAAAACTGTATTAACTTAAGATGATACAGTTTTAATCCAAAAAATTTCCCACGTACTTACCTTGCTTTTAGAAGAATAGAATAGTAAATTGGATTAATGCACTTTTCCACTAAAAAATGATTTCCAATTCTTATTTTATAAGCGCACTTTTTAAGTTTATACTCTTTTGAAGGGGAACACACGATCCATCCCCTATTAACGCCAAAATAATACTGTTTTGCATGAGGAACTGGTGCCAGTTTTGATATAAGACAAATCAAGTGACGCCATCTAGTAAACAATAGTTAAACTGACTTAAATACGGTTTTGCACGGAGAAAGTTTCGCTGTTTTACTACATGCTACTGAGATAATCCCGTTTTATGTTTTTTTTTTACTTGATACACTTTTGAATGGGATGTGCGATATATTTTTTAACTTAATCGGTATTTTACTTTAGGAAAAAAACTAAATCCTTTTTAATAAATATACCAAGGAAAGATATTTATAAATTGTGTGTGTGTGTGTGTGTGTGTGTGTGTGTGTGTGTGTGTGTGTGTGTGTGTGTGTGTGTGTGTGTGTGTGTGTGTGTGTGTGTGTGTGTGTGTGTGTGTGTGTGTGTGTGTGTGTGTGTGTGTGTGTGTGTGTGTGTGTGTGTGTGTGTGTGTGTGTGTGTGTGTGTGTGTGTGTGTGTGTGTGTGTGTGTGTGTGTGTGTGTGTGTGTGTGTGTGTGTGTGTGTGTGTGTGTGTGTGTGTGTGTGTGTGTGTGTGTGTGTGTGTGTGTGTGTGTGTGTGTGTGTGTGTGTGTGTGTGTGTGTGTGTGTGTGTGTGTGTGTGTGTGTGTGTGTGTGTGTGTGTGTGTGTGTGTGTGTGTGTGTGTGTGTGTGTGTGTGTGTGTGTGTGTGTGTGTGTGTGTGTGTGTGTGTGTGTGTGTGTGTGTGTGTGTGTGTGTGTGTGTGTGTGTGTGTGTGTGTGTGTGTGTGTGTGTGTGTGTGTGTGTGTGTGTGTGTGTGTGTGTGTGTGTGTGTGTGTGTGTGTGTGTGTGTGTGTGTGTGTGTGTGTGTGTGTGTGTGTGTGTGTGTGTGTGTGTGTGTGTGTGTGTGTGTGTGTGTGTGTGTGTGTGTGTGTGTGTGTGTGTGTGTGTGTGTGTGTGTGTGTGTGTGTGTGTGTGTGTGTGTGTGTGTGTGTGTGTGTGTGTGTGTGTGTGTGTGTGTGTGTGTGTGTGTGTGTGTGTGTGTGTGTGTGTGTGTGTGTGTGTGTGTGTGTGTGTGTGTGTGTGTGTGTGTGTGTGTGTGTGTGTGTGTGTGTGTGTGTGTGTGTGTGTGTGTGTGTGTGTGTGTGTGTGTGTGTGTGTGTGTGTGTGTGTGTGTGTGTGTGTGTGTGTGTGTGTGTGTGTGTGTGTGTGTGTGTGTGTGTGTGTGTGTGTGTGTGTGTGTGTGTGTGTGTGTGTGTGTGTGTGTGTGTGTGTGTGTGTGTGTGTGTGTGTGTGTGTGTGTGTGTGTGTGTGTGTGTGTGTGTGTGTGTGTGTGTGTGTGTGTGTGTGTGTGTGTGTGTGTGTGTGTGTGTGTGTGTGTGTGTGTGTGCGTATGTTTTACCGTACTTGTGGGATTTTCGCCTGAATAAAACCAGGACTGTGGGGACAGTAAAAGTTGTGGGGACATTTAATGTTGTGGGGACATACACACTTGTCCCCACAACTTTTTTTTGGCTTTATCTTCGTTGTTTCTTTTCTTTTAATGATCATTACTACATAAAAAAATCGCAAAACAATTTGTTCGTGGCACTTTTAATTTTAACTAATCTAGAGTTATTACTTTTACCAAAATTGTTAAATAAGTTACTGTCCCCACAACTAGGTAAAATATCAGGTGTGTATATTTTTCGACTTCGGTATTGAAGTGGGGACTAGTGGTTGTACTAGAAAGTGGCGCCCCCTACAAAAAATAAATATATTTCAATAAATATTGGTTTCATAAATTTGTGTGTAAGCGAATACCAATACGCATACAGTTATGGGGACACAATAACTAATGTAGTATTCAGTACCATTTGGGGCAGGTGACGTATGCGAATGATATTTTTTATAATTTTCTCTTGGTGCGGTAGCATTTTCTGATATTGTATTCAGTAAGTATTTTTTATTAGATCGTTGCTCTAATATAAAAAATAAGAACCAAGATATATAAGGTGTCCAGCGACGAGGGGCACTCTTAAAAACTAATGGACTGATTTTCTTAAAAATTAGTAAGAGTAGTAAACATGTAAAATATTTTGATAGTTCTGTCATTTTCGCTTTTACCGAAAGTAGGTGTCAACTTTTTTATTTTGAGTGGGACACGCCTTTCTTTTATAACGGATTTCTATAGAACATAAACACTTTGTATAATAAAGCATATCGTTAAAATTGGTAATTTATAAAATATAAATTATTTTCGAAAATAAAATATATATTAAAATCATATTTATTTTTGGCTAAAATTAATTAAAATTTGAAAAAGTTTTTTAATTAAATTATGATGAAAAACTATGAAGGTATTAATTAATAATTACATGATATAACAAGATCTTTTAATATACGGACTGAGAGAAAATGCTTGAATTTTCATTTATAGTCGAATCGAAATCGCCTCGGAGTAATAAATATGTCAGATCAAGAAATTTTAGGTGTGGGTGCCTATATTATTATTTAAGGGGTACATAAAATCATCATTTAAAAATATATTTTTTTGAATATGTATTGTAACGGTTGGAACCGTTATTCGTTATTTCAACACAATCACCTCTACTCAAATGTCATTTAGGCCTTGTGTCAAAATTTCGTATTTCATTTGATTTGAATTTGTCAACGAAACAAGTTGATTTGAATTTTAATATATCTTGGTCATCCGATTTACTAAATAATTTTTATCTATCATAAATTCCGTCTGATTTTATAAGGTAAGTTTTAATACTGATATATTGTTGAAAATATATATTTTGTACAAGAATTTCTTAAATAAAATGTCAAATTTTGAACGTAACCTCAACAATGGATAACACGTTTTATATAAATTTATATATTTTTTTTTTGGAATAAGATATTATGCTTTACTATGTTTAAATGTATCAAATAAGATTTTTCCTTTTCATATTAATTTTAGTCTATGTGAAATTATTCATTTAATAGTTTTAAATTGTTCATTTAATAATTAAAGTATTTTATCTAAATCCTGTTCAAATTTCCTATTTCCTGTTATAACATTCGCCTTTCTTTTTAGCATGGCTCTATCTAGACGGTTTATTTCGTTTTATATCTAGACAGTTTATGTGGATTTATATCTAGACGTTTTGAATTCCTATCAAGAAGTTTTATGGTTTTTATACCTAGAAGTTTGGTACAATCTGAAGACCGTGGTTTGGTTCATCTATAGAAGATTTACACGTTCAAATTTAAGTTAGAATATCAAATTTCACAATATCATTCAAGTTCCAGAATTAAGAATAAGGATACCGAATCCCTTTGAAGTTGCCTGAAGAATACCATGCAAATAAACATTCCTTATATTACTTCGTTTTAAGAACAGATAAGTGCTTTTAAATAAATCATGTTGAATTTGAATTTAGTAAAACTATGTGAATTAGAATTTGCTACTACCTTATCTAAAAGTTGGTTTAAATATAATTTGTTATTGGTTAGTGATTTTCTATATTTTTATCACTAATCTAAAGTCAAGTATAGTTGGTAAGTTTTAAATATAGTGGTGCCCAACTTCTTTTTTAAAGTTATTCGAGTTATTTAATAACCTAACCCACGCCCAAAATCAATTGAGCTTAAACACATTATAACAAATAGATAAAATATCAAGTATCGCGTTACAGTATTTATTGAGTATTATTTCGGTAGGTAGGTAGGTAGGTATTTTACAAAATGTGGGACTCGCCTAAAACAAGCAACCCGACAGTTAAATTACAAATATTTAAGTTTAAAATAGTAACCAAAAAAATAATACAAATAAATGCGCCCTAATTTATCCAACCGTGCGCTTATCAGAGTCTTGAAAAGGACTAAAATAAGGGTATCTGATGCAACAGTGTTCCAGGCTAAACTAATAGCCATACAACATTGTGCAAGAGAAATACTAAACAAGTAAGTATCAGGCAAAACTATTGCCATATACTCTGATAGCCAAGCAGCTCTAAAGGCAATTCTCTCACCAGAAATCAAATCACGACTGGTGAAAGACTGTCTAGAGGACTTGGCAGAGCTAAGTAGCCAAAACAAGGTGACCCTAGCTTAAATGTCAGGCCATGAGGGATATCAGAGTAATGAAAAGGCCGACGAATTAGCCCGAGAAGGCTTATATAAGGCCATGACAGGCCCCAAACCCTTCTGTGTAGTTGCGAGGCTTTGTGCAAGACATCCATCAAACAATGGATGCAAAAAGAGTATCAGGAATGGTGGAAGAACTATCCAAGACTGATACATGCCAAACAGTTCATCAAGGAACCATTGGCCAAGT